GATTTTAAGTGTGGAAAATATGTTATACAGAAGAAAAGAATATATCGCGATATATATCGTTACCGCACGTGCTTCAAATTATACCGCACATGGATTTTAGGCCATATCGCCCTGCCCTAGCTGTGATGTCATAGTGTTGGCCGGTGAAGCTCCAACGCAGACCTCTGCATTGGAATAAGAGATGTGCACTGACTGTCTGATCCACACAGCCTGTTATTCCTACAGTGATTAGTTATTTCTCTAATATGCTTTGTTAATGTCATTCATTCATTTGCACATTTTCCTTGCATATTATTTTCAGAGCCTTTACTGCAGCTGCTCTGAGACCAAATTATCTGTTGGTTTATTGATTTTTTTTCAGAGAGCTCCTTTTTAAAAGAATAATAATATTAATTGCTTCTTCTAATTATGGATAAATGATCTAAATTGATGGAGTCGCCTTTTTTCAGTTATTCCCCATTGAAATTGTTTGACCTTCATCGTTAGGACAGAAGCTAAAAGGAACTAAATCATGTTAAATTACTCAAACGGCAGCCGGATTATTTTGGAAAACGATTATTTTCTCGTTTGAAAAGCTTCTGAGCTCCAGGTTCAGCTGAATGTTGCCTTTCATTTGGATAAAATACAAAAACAGCGCCCCTGGTTTGGGACTGGGATTTGAGAAACTCCTGCCCCATATGTTATCTCGTCTCCCCCCCCCCTGCCTGGCGTGCCCAACACCAGATCTGGCAGGTTTCTCTCCAGCAGATTCAGCTTTGCACCCCCGCATCACGATTGGACCTGACAGTGCCTTCAAGTCCAATTAAGAGTGAAGCTCAGAGAGAGGAGTGTGTTAACCCTGCTTGGCGCACAGCTCTACCCACCCAACGTGTTGATGTGGCATCTCGGCAGCCATGTGAAAACATCTCTGCAGACTGGTGTTCATTAGAGCCCACAGCCGAGGTCTTATCCTTAACAATGAGACCGTGGACTGTTGCCACCGCCTCGTCAGCCTGTCAGCAGCCTCTCCCTCGCGCTCTGTGGCTACTGCCTGATTACCGTGTATTTTTGATAAGTGCTTTGCATGCTGCCGTGTGCTGTTGTTGCCAAACCCTTCTCTATAATCATCATGATTTTTATTGGCGTGGAAGGACTTCCTGCATTTACGTCTGCAGAAGGAAAGCAGAAACCTCTTTCCGTCGCTGGGCAAATACGGGCGCTGTTCTGGAGCGTCACCCAACACCACTACTCTGTTTCCCGTTTAATCTCTTTCACGTCCCTTTTGTGCACCTTGATTGCTCTTCAGACTGTTTCCATCCAATCAAAAATGAAACCTCTGGTGCAGAATAAGAAGCCTTGCACTGTCAAAGGCCGGTCATTCGTGACTGCTCCCTCTTCTTGCTCCGAAGCGGCGATGCTGTGCTGCTCTCGTTAGCTCGTAAGTGTGTAGAAAGTCATGGTTACCTCTCACCTTTACCTGACGTCTAAAATCCAGAATGAACCAGTCACCATTTTGTGGCTGTGATTGCAGTCACCGGGTTTTAGGCTGTTGGTCTGAAACGAGGTGAGCAAAGACGTTTGGACATAAATCCGTCAGCTAAAAACATCCAGCATCATCACGCCAAACGCAGGATCTCAGTGATGGAGATATCAACGTCATGCAACCATTGTAGAAGTTGTTTACAGCTGATTTCACGTAGTCTTCATAAAAACTGTCAGTAGGTTCTTCAAGTTGCACAGTTGATGCATAATATTTTGTGTATGAAAATGTAGATCTCATCCTTTGTAGCTCCTTGGAAAAAAAACAAAATTCATATCATTGTTTTGATTACAATTAAGTCTTTGAACCCAGCAGTAATTAATATTTCATCACTAATGAAACAGTCTGCATCACTAATTACATGCTTTTTCCATTATGTTATATTGTTTTCTATAATTATTGTTATTATTATTAATATTATTTTTTTGCCTTGCTCCTTTGCACCAAAACTGATGAAATCTCTCATTAGATATGTGTGTGTGAGCCTGTGGGTTCATTTTCTCTGCAGGAATGTAAGTGGCAAATGTGACGCCAATGTGAGCGATGTGCTCTTGGCGGCTCGGGGCGGAAATGTGAAAGGAGAGATTGGAAGTGCTCCAGGAGTGAGTGCTTGAAATTACTGACAGAAGAGGTTCAGTAACCTTTCGCAGTCTGTCAGAATCAATTAGGCACTGAAAGGAATTCTAAAGATGTTGTTGATTGAATGAAAAAAAGGAACTTTACAGGCGCGCGATGAATAGCTGCTGTTTGGGGTTTATGGTGGTGCACAGGGAACATTTTATCTCTCAGATTTTAGACTTTCCTGTGAGAAATGTTCGCTTTCGGTTTTCACCCTACAGACTGACAATTTATAGAATTATCAAGCGATGTCATCACCCTGTTAATACTCTGAGGTCACGAATGGAAGCCGCCAACCGTAACCCTGTATGGGAAAGGGTTGGTAGGTTGGTATATGTCATTTTTGAGCCAAATAACAAAGAAAATAATCATTATAACAGATACATATTTTAAAATAAGTCTTCCCACCTGTGAAGGGCTAACTTTCACCAGGGAATCATTTGGAGTGAGTTGGACGGCTAAGTTAATGCTTAGTAAGCACAGTTTGAAAAAGTAGCCAACGCCACCTTTGAAACAAGGTGTCTTCTTCTAATAAGGTTTCCATTTGGGCTAACAGATGAAAAAAACAGATAAAGGCAGAGATGAAAACCTAACCTTAACCCTAAGCAGCTCACTGGTGATGTGGTGGGTGTTAAAGGATAATCAGAGGACCTGTAAATTAAGAGAGGTAGGGAAAGGGGTAACCTAGAACTTGTTTGATAGAGTCTCATTTAGCAGAGCATCTTTCTCTGGAATTTTCCCAAACCACTGCATTTAACTTCCTGTGCTGATTCACAATTCAGAACACAAGCTGCTGTTAAGACTCTCAAAGTAAATTATTAGGAGAAGCAAAGAGTTCCTTATCCAATTTAGATGGACCAAGCCCAGAAATCTGATTTAGCAGTAAAATAGAATGACGGAAATGAAATTACAAGACGCTTGTTCTTTCTTTCCAACAGAGGACGATCAGATGAGCAGCGGTGAGGGGGCCGAGGGCGATGGCGGTGGAGGCGGAGGCAGCAGCACTTCCAAATCCGGCCCGACGGCGGAGAAAGACGACAACAACAACGATGAGTACGAAAACTACGACGAACTTGTGGCCAAGTCGCTCCTGAACCTGGGCAAGATCGCAGAAGACGCTGCAAACCGTGCCATGACGGAGTCTGAGATGAACAGCAACTCCTCTAACAGTGCTGAGGATGAAGAGGAGGAGGAAGAGGAGGAAGAGGAGGAGGAAGAGGAGGAGGAGGATGAAGAGGAAGAGGAGGAGGAAGACGAAGAGGAGGAGGAAGAGGAGGAAGAAGAAGAAGGGGATGAACCTCAGAGGGGCGATCTGAGTTTGGACGTCGACAGCGACGTGGTTCGGGAAACGGTGGACTCCCTCAAACTGCTGGCACAGGGTCACGGCGCCGTGCTGTCCGACAACTTGGACGGACAGGAGTTCGAGGACGGCACGGCCAACAACGGGGATGCGATTGACTGCACGAACAATGGGGTAAATGCGCACAACGGTGGTAATGGACAAATTAAGACCACCAGTAATGGACAAATAGAAAACAGCGATGAGGAGGTGTGTTTGAGCAGTCTGGAGTGTCTACGGAACCAGTGCTTCGACCTCGCTCGGAAACTCAGCGAAACAAAGTCCATCGACCGAAACGCACCGTCCCAGCAAAATCACTTCTCATGCGAGGATCCCAATCAACAGCCCCAGCATCACGGCTACGGGGACTTCCACAACAGCCAGGACGACAGACGAATGCTCGATAGGAACTATTCCGACATGGACAATCTCATGAAGCTCGAGGAGCAGCTGAGCCCACGCTCCAAGGCCTTCTCCAGTTGTGCACACGATGACCGGTACCACACTCACCACCGGGACTTCGATGAGGACACGGCCTCTGTGACCTCAGACCGATCAGAAGAAGTGTTTGACATGACAAAGGGGAATCTGTCCCTGCTGGAGAAGGCTATTGCACTAGAGTCCGAACGCGCCAAGGCAATGAGGGATAAAATGGCTGCCGAGGCTGCCAGAAGAGACGGGGTGAGGTATGGCCATGACGATCACGGCCCGCGGCACGGCTACGGCGTTGAGCGTAAAGCCCGGCTTCCCGACGGTATGAAGAAGCCTTTCTACCATAAAGGTGAGCCATTCTCTCAAACACGGATGCACACCATACGACAACAGCAGCATTTAAGCTGGTTCAGTGTGGTTTCTCATTTTGTAAAAGAAATCCGAGTGTTTGAACAGTTTTCAGTATGAGCTGTTCGATTGGTAGGTTCCTCCACATTTTCACAGCGTAGCTCATTTTAGAGAATTAGGACAGTTAATCAGCTCGACCAGCTTGGTAAACAAAAAGTATCATGGAAATGGGAGGATCGCAGCATGTTCCACCAGGTCATCGGGAACCCAACCAAAGTTTGGATTAGCATTGGGCTTTGTGCAATTTTTGCCAGATTGGAACACCTTAATGGAACATCTTTAGCTTCAGAAATTTTAGCATGTGGCTAAAATAAAACCCAACCTGAACCCTAACCCTAGTCCCCGGTGACGTGGCGGATGTTAAGACCTTAACAAGCTCAGGTAAAATGTTTTCCTGACAACTCTGTATTTTATCTATCCTGTGCTGGAGGCCAGGCAGCCCACATGCATTCTGGGAACCTCGCTGTAACCCCAGGACAAGCTTTTTCAGCCAATTTGGAAATTCGCATCTCGGTAGCAGCGGGAGCGGCAGCAGCAGCTTATGTTGTTAAAATAGGCCAGCATGGAAACATCAGAGGGTAGGCTTGTCAGGCATAAGTAATGGCAATCTGCACGGCCTGTTAGGACCGAAAATCTCATCCCTGTGATGCAGCTTGGGGTAAAGCTGCCTATTTTTAAACCTGTGCAAACACTTGGGAGGAGAAACCACAAAATAGAGGCCTTCTGTCTGCAGAAAGGATTCATTCTGCAGGGAACTCTTTAAATTTGTTGAGAGTAGCTATGAGCTACCATTCAGATTGATACCGACAAATATCAAGCTAATCCTGCAGTACAAACACTGCAGAACACCCTCGGTTCTAATTGTTATGCTGTGCACTGCGCACAAAGTAAAGTCACAGAAAAATTACATTGGCATTCACGCAGCGGTCTGATTGCAAATTCCTTTGTTTAACTCTTAATTATTCTTCTTATCATATCCTTTACAACAACAATATACGGGCCTAACAAGGTTAAATTGCTCCCTCCCATAAGGAAGATATCAGATGAGAGCAACAAATAAGAGCATGCTAATTCACAGCAGGATGGTATCACACCTTAAATGCCACACATCTCACAGCAGGTTTATATTGCGACTTAAATGCCACACAAATGCTAATTTCAAGGGCCTTCTGTGGCCTCTGTGTCTGGCTAATGTTGGAATAATGAGAGGACGCAAGACGGCTGCGTCACGATAGCATCTTCCCTCAGGCGAGATAGTAGCAGACACTCGTTGACCAGGGTTCTTGTGCGTGATTTATAAAGTAGAGCATGGCGAGGAAGAGGGCGGGACGGGGAAGAGAGAAGCATGAGGTTGAGATGAAAATTGAACAGTATCAGAATGACCGATAACGAACGACGGGCCTACTGACTGCACATTAATTATCCAGAGATGGTATGGTAATGGGGGCCATTTGCTATGCAAAGCGCAGACCGTCCGCAGCCACAATCAATATCCACTGCTTTCTAATATGCCTTCCACTTGGCTGCCTCCACTCCCTGCAAGAGGAGTGGAGGCAGGCACGAGCATCACGTCTGTACACGTGCGATCAGGCGTATGGAAGTGGGGATTTTTTCCAACATACAAACATTAACAGCCAATGTAATAAGAAGCCATTAAAAAGAAGCCTCGGTGTTATCAACGTGATATTACCCTGGTGCCAGACACGAGAGCCAGACATGACGGAGCAGTATGTGCCGTATTCATGGGCCCCTGTAATGTGACATAGATGGACGACGGCCATCGAGGATAACGAGGAGTTTTGTTCTGATGAATGAGAGACGAGATTTGGTTTGGTGACTCATTAGTAAATGAATGAGTAGGTGTGCCTTCATGTCCCCTCTTCATTTTGCCTTTTATGAACTCCTTCCACTTTGCCACATCCACACATCCATCCATCCATCCATCCATCCATCCATCCATCCAACCATCCCTTCCTTTCATCCATCCAACCAGGCACCCATCCTTTTCAGCCATCCCTCCATCCATCCATCCATCCATCCATCCATCCATCCACCCATCCATCCCTTCCTCCCTCCATCCACACATCCATCCATCCATCCAATCATCCATCCAACCATCCCTTCCTTTCATCCATCCAACCAGGCACCCATCCTTTTCAGCCATCCCTCCCTCCCTCCATCCATCCATCCATCCATCCAACCATCCCTTCCTTCATCCATC